CTCCTCCTCCTCCTCCTCCTCCTTCTCCTGTCCCTCCTTCTCCTCCACGTCCGCCTCCTCCTCCTCCTCCTCCTCCTCCTCCTCCTCGTCCTGGCTGTAGGCAAGCTCTTGGTTGCCCGCGCGGAGCTTCTAGGGCCTGCTCCCACTAGAGGGCTCCCAGATGGGGTCCGAGCAGATGGGGTCGGAGGATCGCGCTGCGTCGCCGATGCAGCGGCGATGCACTGGCGACGTCGGCGGTGCATCGGCGCCGTCGGCGTGGAGAAAATCGGGCCCCGTATCGAGCCGCAGCGCCGATGCATCGGCGCTGCGACGCGATCCTCCGACCCCGAACCACACCTGGGAGGCCTAGACACTCACACACACATTCACACACATTGACACACAGACGCACACCCACAGGCACACACAGACACACAGACACACAGACACAAAGACACACAGACACACAGACATATGACCACATAGACACAGAGATACACCCCCACACACACACATTCGCACACCACCCACCACACACCATACACAAACACAGAAACACACAACCACACAAACACACACAAACACACAAACACACAACCACACAAGCACACGTTCACACACACACATTCGCAATCATTCACACATTCACACACACGCGCACGCACACGCACACTCACACGCACACACACACGCACACACAAACGCGCACACACAAACGCACACGCACACGCACACACAGGCACACGCACACGCACAAGCACACGCACACGCACATTCACGCACACACGCACACACACGCAGACGCAAACGCACACACAGACACGCACACGCACACGCACACGCACACACAAACACGCACACGCATTCGCACACACACACACACACGCACACACGCACACACGCACACACGCACACACGCACACGCACACACAATCACGCACACGCATTCGCACACACACGCACACACGCGCGCACACACCCATACCCGCACACACACACACACTTATACACACTTACACACAGTTACACACACTTTTACACACACACTCCACACACAGACACACACACACACGCACACACACACGCACACACACCACACACAGACACACACACACACACGCACACACACACACACGCACACACAGACAGACAGACACACACACAGACACAGACACAGACACAGACAGACACAGGCACACACACACACCCATACACACAAACACACACCAGACACAGACACAGACACACAGACACACAGACCCCCGCACACACATTACACACAACACACACACACACGCACGCACGCACGCACGCACTCACACACACACCCACACGCGCACACACACACACACACGCACACACACACACACACACGCACGCACGCACGCACGCACACACATTCACACACACACGCACGCACACCCACGCACACCCACGCACACACTCAAACAATCACACAATCACACACAACACACACACACACACACACACGCGGGCGGGCGGCTACGCCTGGGACGCCGCCCCCGAGCGCCGCCCCGGGCGCGGTCTGCGCGCTGGAGAAGCGGGGCCCAGCGCCGACCCCAAAAAACTCCGCGCAGACCTTCCAAGGCTAGACGAGCGCGCTCCACTACTCGCAGAGTAACTGCTGGCAAATGGCCTGGATCCACCGCGGCGAATCTACGATCACTGACATCGAAGCGGACATGTTTTTTTCTGACGTTTGCGAGTAGGCACTTTGCGAATAGTGGAACGCGCTCGGTGAACAGTTTCCTGCCAGTGCAGCCCTCTTCCCTTCCGGAGGAGCTGCCGGAAGCCCGGCAGGTAGAAGAAGAAGAAGGGGAAGGACAGCAGGGAGTACACCACGCGGCACCAGAAGAGGTTCGTGAGGAAGCTGGCGCCGACGAAGTGCAGGGCCAGCAGCCCCAGGCAGCAGACGCCGAAACTCATGAGGTCCCAGCGCAGCACGACGCGGAGTCTCCCGCCCCGCGCCTGTGGAGGCCGCCGAGAAGGGGGGACGGAGCACGCGGAGCCCGAGGATCGCACCGCATCGCCGACACATCGGTGAGCCGTGGAGGTTTTGGCAGCGCGCTGCTGACGTCCAGGCCCCCAAAGCAACGAGTTCGGGGACCACGATGCCAGGACAGGCAATTCAATCTGATACCTCGTCTCACAGGGGGGCAGCGACCAAAGGTTGGAGGCTTGGACATGGGCACCAGCATCAACACAGGGGGCTGCCTCCGCTGTGGGGGAAGCTGATCCTGGATATTCTGGTGTTGGTGGTGATGTTTCGGCCACATGGGAAGCCATCGCCGAGATCGGGATCATCTTCCCTCGGTGGAGGCACACCGCCGATATTGGGAATGCGATGCCAAGGTAGAATTACACCAAAGGATAAACCCAATCAATGGATGGTTTGAAATGGGATCGATAAAGAGATCGATAAGGAGATAGACCGGGAACCCGGGAACCCGGGAACCCAGAAACCTGGAACCCACCGAAATCGGCCCGGAACCAATAACCAAGAACCCGGGAACCACCGCCGATATTGGGACTGCGATGCCAAGGTAGAATTACACCAAAGGATAACCCCAATCAATGGATGGTTTGAAATGGGATCGATAAAGAGATCGGTAAGGAGATAGACCGGGAACCCGGGAACCCAGAAACCTGGAACCCACCGAAATCGGCCCGGAACCAATAACCAAGAACCCGGGAACCCGGAACCAGGAACCTGGGAACCCAGCCGGCTACCAAAATCGGCGGGAAATTTTCGTCAAATCTTTCAACGTCTGCTAGGACCCCTTCAGTGCAAGCACTGATTGGGGCATACTGTCGTCTGATCCCTCGTCTGACAAGAGGTCAGCGACCACAGGGGCGACGACAACTGCGACCTGCGAGGCGCGATCTTTGAGCAGGGACCGACCGTCCCGGCATTCCTATAGTCATACCACGAAATGTTCTAAGAACCCGAAAGTGTTCTAAGAACAAAAACAATGTTCTTAGAACATAAACCCGATGTGTTAAAACAAGACAGTCCCAGCCAGAAATGTTCTAAGAACATTTCCTGGGAACCACAAACAATTCTTAGAACATTGTTTGATGGGGCTATAGGCGAGCCGGGACGCTTCGCCACTGCTTGACGATCTGGACGCGCTCGGGGGCGCCCCACATCGGGCAGCCGCCTCGTGGGGAGCTCTCCCAAGAAGCCCCTCCACGGGTCCCAAGCCGGCCCCCCCCCCCCCTGCAGCCCTCCCTCCTCCCCTCCCTTGCAGGCAACGTATGTACTAGGGGGAAAGAGGGGCCCAGGGGCAGCGACCAGAGGGGCACCGTCGTCCCCTCGGCGCAGGGCGGCCACCGCAGCGCGGAGCGCGGAGATATGCTCAGCTGGATGCGGTGCCGTGGAGGCGGCAGGAGCCTGGGCTTAAGTCGGGCCTGTCCTCCTACAGGGGGATTTGGGACGAAAAATAGGAAATAGTCAAGCATACCCCACGATAGCAAAAAAAAACTCAAAAGATGGTCGCCAGACTATTTCTGGACTATTTTCGCATACTCCTCCTGTAGGGGGGCAGGCCCGACTTACGCCTGGGCTCCCGGCCGCGCCGCCTCGCCGATGCATCGGCGGCGCCGCGCGGTCGGCGCTCCTCCGGGCCCGTGTCCTCGGGCCCCGTCTGGGCGGCGCGGAGCCTCAGAGGCCGCCCGTAGGCGGGGTCCGCGCGGAGGGGGCCGGAGGAGCGCGCCGCATCGCCGGTGCAGCGCCGACGCATCGGCGCCGTCGGCATGGCGACAATCGGTCCTCCTCCTCCTCCTCCTCCTCCTCCTCCTCCTCCTCCTCCTCTTGGCTCCTGCTGCTTATCCTCCTGAGCCGCATCGCTGATGCATCGCTACTCGGACCCCGCCCAGGAGGCATTAGAAGCCTGGGTCTCGGCGTCCACCGCCCTGGCGCTCGTCACCTGGCTGATCAGCTCTGGCCTCCTCTGCTGGCGCGCCGCGGCCCTGCGAGACCGGAGGCCGTGCCCCGTGCTGCGGGGCAGCAGCCAGAACGCCGCCCACACGAGGCAGACGCTGCCGAAGAAGTCGATCACCGGGAAGACGACGCTGGTGTTAAGTCGGGCGTGTCCCCCTACAGGGGGATTTTCGACGAAAAAATAAAAAATACTCGAAAACTATTGAAAAGATGCTCAAACATACTCAAAAAAACATCCCCATACTATTTCTTGACTATTTTTGAATATTCCCCCTGGAGAGGGACAGGCCCGACTTAACGCTGGTGTTCTGCCCTGGGGTGTGCCGTAAGATGCAGTCCTGGTCTCCGTCGCAGACGTGGAGTGCGATGTAGTAGTCCGCCGCCCCGTAGGCGTTGTTCACGACGCCAGAAGTCAGGAACTGCATCCCCTTTGCCGAGAGAACGAAGCTTGTCAGCTGGTACTCGTCCACTCCGTCGGGCGCCGCCCAGAGTAGCAGCAGGATCAGTGTGTAAAAGCCGACCCTGGCCGACCAGAAGGGCACGAAGGTGATTGCCAGGAAGATCAGATAGACCGGGTCCTTCAGCATCCCGAAGATGGACCTGTCGTGCGGCAGGAAGTGGTGCAGTACGAAGGCTCGCAGGCGCAGCAGAGGGCCCACTCGTGGCCCGTCGTCCTGGGGCGGCGGGTCCTTGTAGATGGACAGCTCGACGCCTTTCAGGATCTCCTCGTCGATGTCGTGCCACAGCTCCTCCATGAGTGGCCCACACAGCCGCCGCACGCATGGCCACATGTCTGGGTCGCTCAGCACGCTGTCGCGTAGCGCGCTCCCTGCGCTGGCCGAGACGGACTTCCACAGCGGGCGCGCGAGCGTCATGCCCAGCTCCTTGATGTGCTCCTTGCTGTCGTCCACGCGCCTCCTCTTGTCCAAGATCGCCTGCCGCTTCTCCTCCGGGAGCCCCGCGTACGCCTCCTCCGTCGCCGCGGTTATGATCTCGCTCGCCTGGACGTAGGAGGCGTAGCCCTGCTTCACCGCCGACTCGCCGTGCGTGGCCACCACGTCGGCGAGGTACTTGGCACCCTGCAGCGCCCTCGAGGCGCCCTCCTGGAGCTTCTGCTGCGTGCCCTCGCTCACGCTGTCGTGGACATAATGGGAGGCGATCATGCCCACCTCGGCCGCCTTGGTCTTCGCGGCGGCGGTCGCGCCGACGTAGCCGGCGTAGGCACCGATGGCGGCCTTGGCGGCGTGGACCGCCGTCCGCTCGGCCGCCGCCGATGTGCCGCCGTCCCCGTGTGCCTGCACGATGTCCTGGTGGACCTCTGCCGCGCCCGTCACCACCTCTTGGGGGCGTCCCACGACTAGAGGCCTCCCAGATGGGGTCCGAGCAGATGGGGTCGGAGGACTGCGCCGCATCGCCGGTGCAGCGGGGATGCATCGGCGATGCACCGGCAACATCGGCGAGGCATCGGCGCCGACGGCGTGGAGAACATCGGGCCCCACATCGAGCCGAATCGCCGATGCATCGGCGATGCGGCGCGATCCTCCGACGCCATCTGCTCGGACCCCATCTGGGAGCCCTCTAGTGGGAGCAGGCCCTAGAAGCTCTGCGCGGGCATCCAAGAGCTTGCCTACAGCCAAGACGAGGAGGAGGAGGAGAAGGTACAGGAGGAGGAGGAGGAGGAGGAGGAGGAGGAGGAGGAGGAGGAGGAGGAGGAGGAGGAGGAGGAGGAGGAGGAGGAGGAGGAGGAGGAGGAGGAGTGCCAGACAGCGCGGCGACCTCGGCTGCGGCCTCGCCGCGCGGTGCGTCACCGCACGGCTCCGAGACCCCAGAGGCCCGCTGCGCACGAGGCGTCCTCGGAGAGCGGCCCCAGCCCGATAAGCGCGGGGCCACCGCAGATGCCCACCGGGTCGTCACACCGTGCGGTCACCGCACCGTTCGGGTTGCCGCAGCATCTTCCGAGCCGGATCGACTTGTGAGGGTCCCGGGCCCCAAAGCAGGCGGAACTGCCCGGTGCGGAAAGACTGCAAGGCCTAGATAGATCGCAGGAGGAGGAGGGGGAGGAGGAGGGGGAGGGGGAGGAGGGGAAGGCGGAGGAGGAGGACGAGGAGGAGGAGGCGAAGGAGGAGGCGGAGGAGGAGGAAGATTTTTTGTCGCAGCGCGCCATGCAGCCCGCAGGTCACCTCAGGGGAGGGCGAGACCTCCGAGGCAAAACAAAGAGGAGCAGGAGGAAGAGGAGAAGGAGGAGGAGGAGGAGGAAGAGGAGGAGGAGGAAGAGGAGGAGGAGGAGGAGGACCAGTGTAACCCCAACAGCCACCAACGATGTTGGAATACACCCTCCCTCCACAGTCCCTCTTCATGGGACCCTACAACGGTTCATTTCCATTGAGGTAACTGCCTCGTTGGAGGACAACCGTTTGAAGACCCGGGAGCATGCCAAAACATTGTTCTCGGGATTCCAGCGCCACGGATCAACCGGACTATTGCGTCTTGACGATCATGGATCGTGCCAGAACGCCATTCTCGGGATTTCAACACCGCGAATCAACGTATCTGTTGCACCCGCCACATCTGGAGTCCTTCCAAAACACAATTTCTGGTACGGTGATCGTGGGAATCCGTGAACCTCTTGCGCTTGTTTAGAACGAGTGTGCGCGGCGCTGAGGGGAGAACCACATTTTGAAAAAGAACCGCCCTCAATCCGTGAATCGATTGAAACATTTTAGAACGAATGTGCGCGGCGCTGAGACGAGAACCACATTCTGTAAACGAGCGATCACCAATCCGTAAAACTTTTGAAACGTGTTTAGAAAGGATGTGCGCGGCGCTAAGGCGAGAACCACATACAAAAAACGTTCGATCATAAATCCGTGAAGCTCTTGAAACATGTTTTGAACGAATGTGCGCGGCGCTAAGGCGAGAGCAACATTTTGAAAACCACCCGCCCTCCATCTGTGAAACTCTGGCCAACATTTCTTTTAAGCTTCAGAGTCATCAGTGGTCAGGTCTCAGGCGGAACGCCAGGCCCGATCAAACAAAATGACCTCGGGGTGCGACAGGGGAGACTTATTTACAAAAAAAGGAATGGAGGAGGACGAGGAGGAGAAGGAGGAGGAGGAGGAGGAGGAGGAGGAGGAGGAGGAGGAGGGGGAGAAGGAGGAGGAGGAGGAGAGGAGAGGAGGAGGGAGGAGGAGGAGGAGGAGGAGGAGGAGGAGGAGGAGGAGGAGGAGGAGGAGGAGGAGGGGGAGGAGAGATGAGAGAGAGAGGAGGGAGAAGAAATGAGGAGAGAGAGAGGGAGGAGGAGGAGGAGGAGGAGGAGGAGGAGCGGAGGAGGAGGAGGAGGAGGAGGAAGATGAAGAGGAGGAGGAGGAGGAAGAGCAGGAGGAGGCGGAGGATGAGGTGGAGGAAGAGGAGGAGGAGGAGGAGGAGGGAGGAAAGATGAGAGAGGAGAGAGGAGAGAGTGAGGAAGGGGAGGAGGAGGAAGAGGAGGAGGAAGAGGAGGAGGAGGAGGAGGAAAAGGAGGAGGAAGAGGAGGACGAGGAGGAGGAGGAGGACGAGGAGGACGAGGGGCATCGGTATCTTCTCCTCCCCTGGCCACCTTCTTGGACACGTCGCGGACGGCTGGCACGGCGGACTGGACGCCGGCCGAGACCGCCAGGCCCGCGGCCTGTGCGCCGTCTGCGACCGCGGAGCCGGTCTGCTTCGCGGACTCGCGCGCCTGGCGCTGGAACGTTTTTTTTCGCAGCGAAGCCCCAAGCCCCAGGAGCCGTACACACTGGAATGTCCAACCGGCAAGAGCCGCACCTCCACTCCATGGAAGCAACAACCATGGCGCTGGAACGTTGGTGGGGGGCTAGCCGGCGGCCGAGAGTCAGGGGAGGCAGGATATGCAGCAGCCCGCAATTGTGGAGGGGAGTGAGGGGGCCGGCGCGGGGTGGGTCGCGGGTGGGACGACGACAACACACAGCAACAAGCAGAGTTCGCGCCGCGCCGCGCACCCATGGACAGCGACTGACCGTTCGCCCCCTCACTCTGACCGATGCCGCTGCTCGTCCTAGAGAGCCCTCGTCGTCACGGCTGAATTCTCCTCGGAAGTCTGGTGATAACGCACCCCGGGAGACGTCCGGGGTTGACCAGTATCGGTACCGTGTTTCCCCCAGAGAAGATCGAGGAATCGAGGGTCAAATATTCTAAGAATTGGAGTGTCCTCCTCCTCCTCCTCCTCCCTATCCTGCTCCTCCTCCTCCTCCTCCTCCTCCTCCTCCAGCTCAAGGGGGGAAACATCGAGCCCATCCTTTCCGTACCCACTCCGACTGTACCGAGCAGAGTGAGCTCACGCTGCGCCCCGCAACATCTGGACCGTCAAGGTGGCCCGTCAGAAAGCGTCGGCAGGCCCGAGGTCTGACGAAAAGGAGCCCTACGCTTCCCCGAGCCCCACGAGAGATGACGGGCCACGCCAGGAGGGGACTGGCTCAGGAGGGGAAGCATCGAGCTGGAATCGGCTATACATCGCCGCTGGACCGGCGAGTACGAGGAGGAGGAGGAGGAGGAGGAGGAGGAGGAGGAGGAGGAGGAGGAGGAGGAGGAGGGGGAGGAGGAGGAGGAGGAGGCTCCCGAAAGTCACTCCGCACGTTCCCAGCCGGGGTGGGCGGGCGGGCCCGCGTGGGCGATCCATGGGAGCCCGGGGGCCGCCGTGGCCCCCGGTGATCTTCGCCTCCCGCGGCCGCCCGGGGCGATCCGGGCACCCCCTTCGGGCTGGGCGCAAGAGGGGGGGATAGCAAAAAGGGGGGGTTTGAGAATCAGCTCACGCAGCTGGTGCTCCCGGCGCCTCCCGGCGCCGGGAGGCGCCCACGTATCGAGGGATGGGCCCGGCGGCGGGGCCGAAACCAGCTGCGTGCAGCAGACTTCGTCACCCCCCCTTTCCCTATCCCCCCCCTTTCGTTCGGCCCGATCCTCGGAGAGCCCTCGGCGAGGCGCAGCTGCCGGAAGGCACCCCTGTGGCAGGGAAGCAGCCGAGAGCCGACGAAGACGCCCGAAGAAACCGCGAGCCTCGAGCTTCGTCCACCCTGCTCGCCATCGCCCGGACGCCCATTCCCGGTGCACCCTTCGGCTTCGCGCGCGTACTTTTTCGGAAGGTGGGCCCCAGCTGCTCCTCGATGGTCCTTGCCGAGCAAGAATGCAGGCACGCGCCCGAGCGATGCCAAGCCTTGAGCCTGTCCCCCTCCTGGCGCTGTCCCCTGCGCGCCTGCTCGACGCTCTCCCACGCCCTGGCGCCCGCCTGCTCCACCGACTCCTGCGCGCGCGCTCCGGCCTGGGAGACCGCCTGGCCCACCTCCTGGACGCTCGCCAGCGTCTGCACCAGCCTGGGGGAGCAGGAGGACGCAGTGCAGTCGACCCGCATGGTAAGGATGCGCGAGAAGGGTGCACGGGCCTTGCCCGCCCATCCCGACGCTTTCCGAGCGGGGGGCGCGGCCAGCGAAAGCGGCCGAGCATGGACCGAGGAGGCAAGGGTGCCAGGGCGCCCTTGGGAAGCGTTTGCCCGTCCCTACTGGTTGTGCGGGCTGACTGTGGACACGGGGCCGATCCCGGCAACCCTGGCGCCAAACACGTCTTTACCCCTCTTGGGGCCGCATCCGCCGGCCCTTGCTTCCCCCGCTCTCCGCCGGCCCTCCGCCGGCAGGAGCGCCCTCGCTTTACGCCTGCCGCCCCTCCGCCGCGGAAGCGCTGGCAGCTCCTCCGACCATCGACGGCGAAGGCCCTGCTTGGCACGCCACGCTCCACGGGCGGGGCGCGAGATGCGACCGGCCTCTCTCGCTGTGAGAGCCCCTGGGGCGCGCGCTTCAGTCGATCCCCTGAAAATCCGGAGGCGCCCCAGGGCCTTCGTGGGCCCCTGGGGCCGCCCGCCTCGGGGCATCGGCCACTTGCGCGGTGCACCTGCCGGCAGGCCGATGTCTCCTTCGCTGCGCCAGCCGCGCTTCCCGGACCACTCTGCGGGGTGCCTCTCCTGACAAGGGCTAGGTCGGGCGTGTCCTCCCACAGGCAGATGTTGGAGGGGAAATTTTAAACATAGCAAAACATATGCTAACATAATCAAAAGAAGTCCCTTGATGTTTTTTTGACTACTTTTGAAGATTCCTCCGGTCGAGGGACAGGCCCAACTTACGTAAGACAAGGGCCCCGATGCGAAGCTGGCCGTGGTGAGGAGCCCCCCGCCCCCCCCCCCCAGGAGGCTCTCGAGCAGGACATCGGCGGCCTCTGGGGGGCCTCTGGGGGGTCTCCTCCCCCTCCTCCCTCCTCCTCCTCCTCCTCCTCCTCCTCCTCCTCCTCCTCCTCCCAGGGGCGTCCTGGGGCCTCTCGGGGGCCTCTTGGGCCCGGGGCAGAGGGCAGTGGGGAAGCGGGAGGAAAGCAGCGGAGCATGGGTGGAGGGTCAGGGAGCGTCTCTGGCCGCCTACCGCCGAAGGGAGGGTGGGCCGATGACGATGCCCTCTCTGGGCCACGCCACGTGAGATCGCGAGGCCCCCGAGGAGCCCCGCCCCCCCCCTCCCCCCCAGGGAGGGCAGGACTCCGAACAGACGTCCACCCAGGGAGAACGGAGAGCGGAGAGGAGGGGGAGGAGGAGGGGGAGGAGGGGGAGGAGGAGGAGGAGGAGGAGGAGGGGGAAGAGGAGTAGGAGGAGGAGTAGGAGCGGAGAACGTGCCGCCCGGCGGCTGCAGCCTTCCCGGGCGCGCCCATGGCCTTGTAGGACGAAGCCGGGACGGGGTTGAACTCGGGGGGGGATGGATATCGAGAGTCTCTGCGAGCCGGCGGCTCTGGAGCATGCCTCGGGCGCCGCGCGGCCTTCTCGGAGCGTGCTGGAACGCGCTGTGAGAGCGTTCCGGAACGCCCTGGAAGGGACTTGTCCTCGTCCTAGCGCCGCCCGGCAATGTCCCTGTGTAGGGGCCCCTGATACCGATGATGCCTTTACTGAAGGGGCCCTGGGACACACAAATAAATACACACAACTAACAGGATTCCCCATATTTTCCCATATTTTCTGGGTTTTTGTCTCCCCCCACACTTCCCATATGTTGCCATATTTTCTGGTGAATCGACGATTAATCGTGTCTGTGTGTGTTTCTTTCCTTCCGGGATGATGCCGTTGATTCCTCTGGGCGCGCGCTCTGACCAGGGCTCCGAGGCGAAGCAGGCTGTGGCGGCGAGGCCTTCCCGCCAAGAGGCCCGGACAGGCAACAGCGAGGGCAGGACCTCGGCGTCGACACGCTCAGCTCTCGGCGGCGACGATAGGGGCGAATAGCCCCCATCGTCGCCGCTGAGAGGAGGAGGAGGAGGAGGAGGAGGAGGAGGAGGAGGAGGAGGAGGAGGAGGAGGAGGAGGAGGAGGGCCCAGGGGCGGGCATTACGCGCATTCGCCCGGGAGCCTTGTCGAAGACATAGATCATCGGCGCACTTGGATGCATGTGTTGCTCTCCCCTGGGCTGTTCGCCTCTGTCGTCGCCTCTGACTCTCCTCTGACCCAAGCATATGAGTCATTCGTTTTCCGTGCGGGGGCCCGAAAGGTCCCGACCCTTTCCCCAGGGCCGAACTTTCGCCCCGAGCCGTCGTTGACTGTCCTGTGGCCCGGCGAGGGTCCCTGCAGGCCGAAAGCGGACATACGCCTTCCGGGTCCTCCTCGCGGCGCGAGGCCGTCGGGCTGATGTGCTCCTCCCCTCTGGCCTGCGGTCCGCCCCCGAGAGCAGCTGGTCCTGCGCCGCGAGGGAGGCCGACGGCACCTGCATGCTCGAGGGCCGGCGGCTAAAAGACGGGGACCTGAGGGCCGGGGCCCTGGGCGTAGTAGTGGAGCACGCGCACCCAGCCGAGACCTCGCAGCCACCCTGGCTGGCTGCGAACTGCGCGGCCGTCGCTTCTGTCGTGGGCCCCTGGGATGTCCGGCGGGGTCAGGGGCCACGCGCACCCATTGGAGGCTTCGCTGCCCCTTTGGGGGGCTGCGAGCTGCGCAATTGTCGCCACTCCTCGGCAGCTTCGCGTCGTGTCGAACCCCGCGTTGGCTCCGCACACCGCGGGGATCGCTCGACCTCGACAGATCGGCCGTCGTCTCCGAAACGTCAGAGCGTTCAACATCGACCGATTCTGGGTCGCCGGCGGCCCTCAACGTTGAACGCCAGCGGCGGCGTCGCCGCCGGTCGACACGACGCGAACCCACCGTAGGAAGGAGATCTCAAGCTGAGGCCTCACTGTTTGAGACTCAGAAAGCAGCCAACGGAGGCTTTTGGGGTCCTCCCCATGGCGCCCAATTGCGCGCCCAATCGCGCGAAGAGCGGATATAATGCATCTCTCAAATGGCGATATTGGGCGCTGCTGGTCGCTACTGGGCGCTGTTTGAACGCTATTCGGCGCTACTGGGCGCTATTGGGCACTACTCGGCGCTATTGAGCGCCATTCGCCGACATGCATTCAATCCACGACGAGCGAAAGCTTCCATGTTTTGCTATCGAATGGAAACACTCGTTTCTAGTACAGGAAGAGCAACCGGCCTAAACATTCACTTTCGACGGCCCGCGCGGGTTTCTTAGATCTGCGCCAGGCCCCCCTCCCTGGCGCGCGGAGGGGCGTCGCACGAGGCGCCGCCAAGAAATCCGCGCGGACCGACAACAGTTGATGTTTATGCAGTTTCTTCTTCCTCGATCCTGGGGCTAGAGGCCTCCTGGATGGGGTCCGGGCAGATGGGGACGGAGGATCGCGCCGCATCGCCGATGCATCGGCTATACGTCTGCAATGCACCGGCGACGTCGGCGTGGAGAAAAGCGGGCCCCGCGTCGAGCCCCACCGCCGATGCATCGCCGACGTATCGGCGCTGCGGTGCGATCCTCCGACCGCATGTGGTCGGACCCTGTCACTGGAAGAAGAAAGCACGGCATAAACACATAAACTGTTGGCGCTCCACGCGGAATTCCTGGATCTGCCTGGACCCCCCATTCCATGGCGCGCGGAGCGCGCCAGGGGCGGCGCCGGCGGCGCCGCCTGCGAGGCCCAGCGCGGATCCAAAAATGATCGCAGAGCGCCAAAATATTATGTTTATGGCGTAAGTGGAGAAACACACACACACACAGTCTGTGAACAAAAACACATGTGGAAAATACACACAGTCTGTGGGAACAAAAGACACGCAGTGTGTTTGTTCCACACACACACTTTGTTCCACCGAAGCGCGTTACTTCCACAGTCAGTGTGTGTGTGTGTGTGCGTGTGCGTGTGCGTGTGCGTGTGCGTGTGCGTGTGCGTGCGTGTGTGTGTGTGTGTGTGTGTGTGTGTGTCTGTGTGTGTGCGTGTGTGTGTGTGTGTGCGTCGACGCTGCTCGCCCTGAGCGGCTTGAGGGCTCGGCCGGTACCGAGATGATTATAGGATCGAGGTCGGCTTGGGGAGGGAACCCCAGTGTTCTTCGTGTTTCTTGGGTGTTTTTGTGCATCATAAAGGGGGGGGGGCCTTGCATGTTCGCAAGACTCTTCTTCGAATCTACAGAGGCCTCGACGGGCCCCATCCCTCAGGGCCCCCCAGCTTGGAGCCGCCGGGAGAGCTGCGCGCGCGCCGCCAGGCTCGGGCCGCCGGCGTTTGCCGCGCCGGGCTCGGAGGCCGCGGCCGCGGGCGGCGCCTCGTCGCTGCCGCTCCTGGGAGCAGCCCCGATGTGAGCCCTGGCCCTCCTCCTCCTCCTCCTGCTCCATCAAGACTACCCTCCTCCTCCTCCTCCTCTTCCTCCTCCTCCACCTCCTCCTCCTCCTCCTCCTCCTCCTCTTCCTCTTCCTTAGTAAGGATGCGCTGCTCCATCAAGACTACCCTCCTCCTCCTCCTCCTCCTCCTCTCCTTCCTGAGTAGGGATGCGCTGCTTCATCAAATTGACTCCTCCTCCTCCTCCTCCTCCTCCTCCTCCTCCTCCTCCTCCTCCTCCTCCTACTCCTCCTAAGGCTTCCCCGGCATCCCCGCTTCTTCGGCTCATCCTGAGCCAATGTTGAGGCCTTGCGGCCTTGCATCTTGACCTTGCGTCCCTACTATGGCTTTGGCTGTAAGATGAACAAACTCACAAGTGATGACAATCTCAGGGATGCGCCCTCAGAAACTGAGGGAGCCCTCAACATCAGCATCGAGATGAGGTGATGTCAATCATGGGGATGGGAATGTGTTTCGGGCTGGTAAGCTCCCATGCCGCGTGGCCCGCGCCAGGACCGCTCTGGACAGGTCCCCGAACTGGTAGCCCTGCCTGTCAGGCCTGGGCCGGATCGAATCGCAACTTGGATCGCGAGCAAAAGCGCGATTCTTCAATAGACTCTCAGGAAATATCCTGCGAGAACCGTTGCTGTTGTTGTTGTTGTTGTTGTTGTTGTTGTTTTTGTTGTTGTTGGTGGTGCTGTTGTTTTTTGTTGTTGCTGTTCGAGTAAACTGCGAGCCAACAACCCAGTTTGCACATTCATAACTTCCCCTTGTAAAAAAGTGTGAACTCCGTTAGGGGCACTTCAATTGAAAAGGCACTTATGTAACGGGAGGGGGATCAGCAGTAGTCATTCTTCAGAGTTGAAAGCTCAACATTCATGTTAATACTATTCGCCCTTATCTGCTCGCGTGTCAATCAGCATGTTAATTCCAAACCCTCGATACCCGCCCGTTTCGATTTCGATCGTTCCCTTTTGTGGGGCATACCTTCCTCACCTGCTACGTGTACTTGGCGAGGCCGTAAACAGGAAGATGAAGAATACAGGACAAACCACAGCGGGGAGAAAAGGAATGCGTTAAGGGAGGGAGAAGGAAAGGGCCAATGGGGGAGGGGCAAGGATGGAGAACAAACAAGCTTAGCATAATGGCGGAGTGTGAGCAGCACTACTCCGACGGTAGGGCCCCGCATGACAATCTCCGTGGTATACAGGTGCGTGACAATCGGCGACTAACGATTGAGGTGATGCGAGGATGCCAGATGCTAGGACGCCGGGGTGCTAGGAAGCCAGGATGCCAGGACACCAAGGTACCAGAATGCCAGGGATGCCGGGATGC